TTCGCAGGCGCCTTGTGCCAAACCCGCCAGGAAGCCGTCAGTGCGCAGGGCCAATCACATCCACTGAGACATGTTCCCAGTCCGCAGCTGCAGAGATCGGGAAATGGCTCAGTGTCTGTGACTGGCCCTGCGCACTGACAGCTTCCCGGCTGCTCGGCACGAGTGCCATGCGAACACGCCCGAGCCCATCACTACTGTTGAGGCACACTCTTAGGTATATGTTATGGTTTATTTTACAAGGTCTGCCATGTGCTTTATTTGTATATTGGGGTACTACTTTTACTGGGGAGCAAGGCACCACAAGGTGAATGGGGGTATATGGGATGGTGTGGAGCTGTGTCATACCTAAAATGTATTGCTATACTTGGCTTGACAGACTGCCTGAAATTTTGGTGTGACATGTTGGGGGAAACAATTTGGGCACCGAGTCAATGTGAGAGCTTATTAGGGATATGAAATTTGATGTTCTATGGATTCTTGCTTTTTTCCTAGGTACAGCCATTGTTTAGTCAGACATTGTTGCATAAACCTTCTGTTGTTTGGCTTCCTTTGTGGAAAAATAGAAGAAGTGGTGTGTTTTGCTAGGAATGGTGGGCTTGGTAGTTAACACGCAGCTGTATCTTGGAGGTCATGGACTATATTTTGAAAGTAGGTAACACTGATGTGTGGTTCTTAGATATTCAGGATAGAATACAAAAATCCCTTAAGGTCCGGCGGGCCGGATTCGGCCTGCGGGCCTTGTGTTTGCCACCCCTGGTCTAGAGGCAAGCTCAAGCATAAGGTGGCATGCTTTAGGTACTGTGAATTTGAAAGTCATTAGGGCTTTGTTTCAAATGTGTGTCAGAATGTGGGTGGGAGCCCTTCTAGGGTATGGCATCTCCATTAACTGTTTTCCAATTTTTGGGACCCAAGATTTATGTAAGGATTTGTATTCTGCAGTAGGTTTCTGTTATCGTCCCTGAGGAGGTATAGTGCAGCTCTGATCCAGTGTTTATTTTTGATACTTTCAAGTACTGTCAACCCATTTTATGTAATGTGTTGTTGTTGTTGTTATTATTATTTATTGGTTGTAATTCTGTAAACAAAAATGCTCCTATGGCCATTAAACTCCATTTTGATGTGTTCCAAGTTTCTTATGAGGATATGTGTTACTGCAATGCATGGTAATGTATAAACTGCAGCGCATGGTGGCTCTATTCAAAATGAATGGCACTGCAACAAACTATTACAGTAGTGGGCAATGCAACCATACAGCAACATATCACAATGCACATGTCTTGTGTTGGACTGTGCACTGCAGAAAATGAAGGCACTTTTGAACCTTTCACTGCTGCTGATGTATGCTAAACATCGGCCACAGCAGGGCCTTGTAAGCAGACTCCCAGCTGCTATAGCACCTGAGAGTCTGTTTGCATGTGTAAAGCCATCCATCCATTGTACACTGGAAGTGATCTGTGTGTCAGACCTCTGCCAAATGTGCAAGTTTAAAAAGATAAAGTTAAATTAATTCAATGTAAAAAAAAAACACAAAATGTTTAAATTTTTTTTAAGCCCATGTACACACACACACATACTAATACAAACACGCGTTGGGTGCCCCTACATAAGAAAACAACTATTGTGCAACACATGTTTGGCATTACAATGCACGCCAGAGTGAAAGCAATATTTCTGGGGCCATTATTCACAGTTAATTGTAAGTTGATAACCTACAAAAGCACCACCCATAGTCCTTTTTGGATACCGTAGTTTTTGCCAGTCCATGGATGCAATTTTGAAGCTTGACATGTTATATTTCTATTTACTCAGCGCAACCTTATCGTGTATATTTTGCCAAAAAAATTGCTTTACAGACTAACTTATGACATTGAGCCAAGCTTATTTCTTCACTGACCTTTCTACAGAAACTACTCCTCTTAGAAAGGAAGAGTTACATTTTTTAGGGCTACTCTAGGAAATAAGTGAAAGAAGTCTATGAAATCCTAAGGGTTTCCTTATGACATCCAAGGGATGTCATAAGTGTGCTAAAATTAGAAATTCCTCAATTTGTCTTCAACCACATTTTGTAAAAATCACCTTCATTCAGAGTCAAACAGTCTCTTTTCATATATTTGTGGCCAGGACTGCAGCAACTTGCCACATTCATTCTGTATACCTGGCATCTCGCAATGTGGGTGAGGGAGGCTGCACTGACCACAGAGAGGGGATGATGTGTAAACCAGCAGACACACTGGCCTACATTTTCACAAGCATTGCAAGCATTTATCTGCAAGTATAGAAAGTTTGATAACAGAGAAACCATATTCACAAGATTAAATTACTTGATAAAAATATATGCAATAAGCAGCTAGGTTGTGTCCAGTGAGGGTATTTAAATGTAAAAATGTATGACTGGAGTGTACATATTGTATTTTTTCCTGTTTTATTATATTAAAGTACTGTATAAGGTTTATTAAAGATTGAATGATAACAAATGTAATAATTCAACAGTGAAGAGGGTTATTGGTATGTTGCTGAGTACAACGGTGGCAGCTGCCACTAGTCCAAGTAGTATAACATCCCCAATGTTTTACACATATATACAGAGAAACTGCAAGAATACAAGATATTTGAAAAGAGAGTATGCACCAGTTTAACACAATGATTAGATTACAAATTAAGATTAGTTACATTTGATTGTGGAAGCAGAAGTATGATAAGATGTCAAGTAATCCAGGGCTGTTCAGGGACACAATAGTCATGGCCTAGTCCTTTTCACTTGTTGAGCAAAGAGAGGTAGGTGGGGGCCAAGAAGCCAAATGAACAGTAGGAAAAATAGCATTTTTGAGTGTTTATGAAGGTATGGGTAGAAGGGAGGGGGCTCAGGGGTAGAGTGGTCTGCCAACAGGCATCTGGTAGCATTTTAATGGCTTACATGGTCAATTGTAAATAATCAGATTTGCTAAGCAGTAGTGCCCTATCAACAGGGTCCAGACACATTTAATTTGGCAATCATATCATTAAGAGTCTCCACCAATTTCTCATTTAATAAGAACCAAGACATCTTTTGCCTCACCTACACAATTGTAAGTAAAGCAGACCAGTATGTTTTCACTAAGACCTGTTTGGTATAAACATTAAAAGTATTAATTATGTGTTGGTACAGTGTAGTGGTTTTAGGCTTAAGAGCGCTTCCCGAGGGTCCTTGAGATTGTATTGAACTCTGCTAAATGTTTTGGGAAAGGATATGTATACATTACTTTATTCTACAGAATGACTTGTGTTTATTAGAATATTCCTTACTTCATGCTAATGAAAATGGGAAACATTTGCAAAATAATTTATTTGGGTTCTAAATAGTAACTTGGGAAATAATGAATATAATATGTTAGACGTTGTTCATTATCTTATTGCATTACAAGGTGCAATCGGCTGAAACTTTAATCCAAAAGCTATTGTGTTCAGTTTCAGACTGGGAAAACAAACATTTGGAAAATGATATCTGGTAAATAAGCATTTGTTCTTAGTTTCTAAATCAATATATGGCAGTTAAATAGCATATTACTGAAACACCTAAAAGTAAACAAATATTTTTCAGTGTGTAAAGAGCAGGCTTACATAGAACAACAAAGAGAAAGTTGAATTCTCCCACAATGTTGGTTCTAGTTGTACATTTTATTAGTAAGTATATGCATTATATGCATTAAAGATGGTTCTAAAAGCTAAATTTACAGAGATATGCATTTGTTGTATGCCATAATAGTCATTATTTGCAGTTCCAATTGCCACTCATGCCTAAAAATAATTGTGGAACATAAGTGAACTGAACCTACGGAGAAGTTTGGAATGTGCCACTAAGAAGACGCATTAAATAAAGACCAGTCAGTGAAGTACAGAAATGTGTGCAACCAATCAAAAAGTATTTCTGATAGCAGTCTGACAGTAGTAAACTGCAATCTGATTGATTGTTCTCATCTACTAAACTTTGCACATGACCATACTGAATATGTCTGTATAGTTCTATTTGTTACATACATGTTGTGATGGTATCCATTGATAGATTACAATAATGGTATTTCAGATGGTAGCATACCGCTTATGACAGTAATTTGACACTCAGTAGTGCAATTACCACTGAAGCAGCAAATATGACTGCTGTGAAAACCCGAATATTTGATTTGGACCCTAATATCCAGATCTGGAATGCTTTCATGGTTGCTTCCAAGGCCCAGCAATTAGTAGTTTAACCCAAACTGAAGTATGTTTAAGTGGCCTTGTCAAGATATCCTTACATTTGTTTATGTACTAATGTATCTTCTGGTTTAGTTGCAAAGCTTATGTATATACTATAAGATGAGATTCATAAAAATTTAAAATATTGCCCCTCCACAGTTTTGTTTGTGTGATATTTTTGTGGATCTGCAAGATGGGACCTTGTGGATAATGTTTTTTTTAGATCACGCTAAACAAGTCACTCGTGGGCTTGAATGACTGTGGCCTGTCATGCAGTCTGCTACGGCAAATACAGTGGCTCAGAACCCCTTTTACCATAACTGTATAAAGCCAATCTTTTAACAGTTTCACCTCAATACTAATATTTACCCTTTTGGAAGATGGCTTCTTAAATCTCTTTTAGAATGCTGTGAATATATCCATTTGCTGTAGTTGTCTCTTCCCCCAGACACACACACCTTGGATTTTCACATCTTCTGTTACAGTAGGGACAATCTAAACCCTCACATTGCATTCTCTACAATACAGAAAATAAATTAATATTTTCACAATGGATGTTACAGGTAAGTAGACCAAAAGTGTCAAGTGCAGATTTAAAAGGAACCAGTACCAGTACCTAGAAAAATTGAAATATCCATTTTGAATGGACTGACTCTTTAATGTTTTTCACTCACCAAGAAAATATAAGCACCAGCAATAGCTTACGTGTATATTTTATTTTAAATGCTGTGGGGGTTTTTTGAAAGTGGAATTCTGTTTCTAATTGTTGCAATTGTATTTTGTTACAGGGTTTCCAAGGACAAGATGGACCCCCAGGTCACAAGGGAGAAAAGGTAACATTTGCAGAAAGCAAAGTGAATTGACATTTATTATATGTGGTTTGTTTTCCAGGGCTTTTTGGCTCTTTGCTTACACATGACTTGTGCCAAATGTCTAGTAATTGTGTCTCGCTTATTTGTTCCCGTGATGTCTTTTCCTGGCAGTATTTTACTCCACGGGTGGCTCTATTCAAGTCTATAAAGTCAGTCTGTAAATCAGTCTAGAATTAAAACACTATATAGACACAGCTGCTTTCATGTTTATACCACATTTTATAGACCAAGCTATTTTTCAAGTGCCATCTTCAAAGTAAACAAATACATAGCATGTTCACAGTTCATATATATTTCAAATTGTTTTAATAATGAAGTGACTTGTTCCTGGGATAATTATTAATATGTTTATTAATTTTTGCCTAATGTGCATACATTTGTACAGAGCTGTTTGTCTTATTCGTAAACTATTTTCTGCCCAGTGAAGCTTGTAATTAAGATTTTGGTGACTGGAACATGAAGTGAGGTAGTCACAAGAAGCTGACACTGTGATATAAAATGGGGTCTACAGTCAGCCTTACATGATGAGGCTTTTACAGAATTGCAAAACTGTATGACCTCCATCAAAATACTGTCCAAATATAAGGCTGTGTTTGGGTTTGTGTTCAATTATACTGAAGTTTACAAAAACATTTGTGACAGAGGCGCAGTGCCTGATCTGAGGGCCCTGGTACAGTGTTTAGGCATTAGTTCCCTGACAGGTTTTCCCATTTTTGCTGCCTTACAATGAAGAAACCCCTAGTATCCTTCTCTACCCCCCTTCCCCACGGGAAATACTTACAGTAGACCACTTACATTAAAACAGGGAATCAACTAGAGATGCTGCTGGTACATTACTGATTGTATAGCTGTGCATGGAAGTTACAGACCAGTACAGGAATGCTTCTTCATGCATATTTTGATTAATGAGGCTAACCACCGGGGACATATGAAGAAGCTTCCCTTTACCAGATTGTAACTTCCATGCTCAGCTCTGCAATAGATGATTTTCTTCCAGCACCTCTGCTCTGCTTCTCTTCTAAGGTTATTGCTACAATGAAAGTATTTTTGTTGAGCGTTAGAATAGGATCAGGTCATTTCAACAAGGTTCCCATAATGCATTAGACTGCTGCAACCCCCTGTTCATTCCCCTCTCATTTGTGATATTTTCAAGCTCCTGAGGGTTGTAAAAGACATTCTTAGGGCAAGAAGGGAGAGTGCATTAAAAGAACAATGAAAAGTGCAGAAGTGAAGAAACCTTTATAACCACCAAGTTTCATTTTACTAAAGTCATGTCAATTAAATCTGAATTTTAATTAAACTGTACACATTGTGTATCATTTATTGGCACATAGATTTATTGAATAGTCATTAAGTATATTAAATGCTTCCTGATAATTGGAAAACATGATCCCATATAAGTGAACTGCTGCATGTCTAAGCAACTCTGCTGTTTACATAGAGACATTATATCCAGTGCATTTCATTTTTTAACACCAAAATGAATGAATGTATGTAATCAACCAGATGAAAGTTGACAAATGACTTTGTAATTTTACTTAAAAATATGCATGGTGTTCCATTCCATTTGAAGCTAGAGCCTTATTTGCATGTAAAAACAACTATGGTAAGCTATTTTGATAAATTGTTTTCCAAACCTGTTGTCATTCATACTGGTAAAATGGTGTATGTATGTGTCAGCAAAATAATGTACTTTACATGAAAGAAATAAAGTGGTTGTCAAAGTCCACAAATGACTTTTTGCAGCCTTGATTTGTCACATGCTACACATGCAAAGCCCTTTGTGCTGTTTTTTTACTGGAGTCATAGGGCTTGTGTATATTTTATCACTGCCACTATCAGTCCATAGGCAAATTGTGGATTTGAAGCAACCAGCGATAAGTAAATACAACAACTTATACAGCTCGGAAGAATGATGATCTTATCAGCCTCGGCCTTATTACATTTACTGCTGTTTCATAACAAATGCATATTTATGATGAATTCTAACTTGTCCAGTGCAAGAACTTGATTAGTGTTTAATGTGTCGTTTATTCTCGTTTTGTATGGTAAACACATACTCATTATAGAAATTACAGTGCTTATCGTCCCTGCTCCAAATACATTAGTTTGATACTCTTTTGTAAAATGTAAGCTTACAGGGACTTGGTAAATGTTGTTTTTCACGAGGATTATTCCAGTTGTTTTCTTATTGTTTTGATTTGTAGGGGGACATCGGTCCAAGAGGATTACCCGGCCTGCCAGGATTGGTAATTATATAACGGCGCAAATTAGGTCTCAAATTGTACAACATGTGAAGTAGGTGCCATAAAATCCATAAGGTTTAGTGCCTAGCCAGCAGAGCAGGCAACAACAAAGCTAATAAATACAGGCAAATGGGTTTCTGTAAAATCATTATTTTGAAACAAAATAGCCTGGTGTGAGTGCTGTTCTGCATGGTTCATGATCATAAAACCATCTAAAAAAAAAAAATTTTGTTTCTTAAAAACTGTGCTACAGCAAATACACTATTGACAGAATCTGTGGGAAAAACTGTTTGTAAAGCTGTGCTTTTTTTATACAAAATATTGTGTCTAGATATTGCTGAAAGTTGACTAGCTTTCTTAATGTAAGGTTTCAATAAAAGCTTAATTATCATTTTTACTTAAATGAGTTGCAGGATAAAAGGTTTTATTTCAAAGGATAAATACACAGTCAGCATTATTTCTGCAGTATTAGGGGGAACTTCTGCCGAACAGCTACATACAAGGTTGAAATGCATATATGTTTACTGCTTTATCTTCTATAGGATTTCTAATTATGGCCAGCTATTTTTGCAGTACACACCTCAGCTAGGCAGAAGGATTGTTCTACTACTTCCTGGTTTCCATTACAGCTTCTTGGTTTAGCTTTATTACATCCTATGTCACTTCCCTGCTCACTGGACAGTGATAATGATGCTGATTCCGTGTCTAATAAAGAGGCTGGAGATAGGGTAAGGAAACACAAGAAGCTGCTTTTATGAAACAAGAAGTTTGAATGATCTAATCAGAAAATTAGTATTTCATCTGTTTTACTGTGCAGTGTGGACAGTGCAAGGCTGGCTATGGAGAATTACAAATCCTTTGGCATTTGAAATAGTAAACATACAGGTGTCTTAACTGTAGAACCTTTTTAGGAGCTGTGCTTTAAAGCAACTCTCTCACTTGACATAAGAGTTTTAATAAAAATCCACCTTGTTCATGCTTATCTTTTTGACTTACAACCTTCAGCAGAATATTTACAACCAACATACTTCAAGGTGTGTCCTATGTCTGTAGCACCTGCCATACACTGCGGTTCATTTCACAAGCTCCACTGAAGAACTACATAAAATCTGACACCCTTTGCCATTCTCATTCCTAAAACATTCACATGTCCACTTTTTGTAGCCGTATGCTTAATTGTTAATTGTTTACATTTTTAAAAAACAACTTTAAACAATTGTAAAAAATTTAAATCATTTTAATTGTTTCAAATTGTTTAAAGTGAGTGGGAAAAAAACACAAAAGAAGAAAGAATACAACACCTTGCATATTACCAATGACGGAAAGAAAAAAGGCTGAAATTAAAAAGGCTCACAATTAAAGTTGTATGTTCAAGCATATCATTGTTAGAGTAGATAATCCTTGGTTTGTTCAAATAAAGTTCATCTTGGCAGGGCATGACATAATGACATGGTATGACATGATGTATCATAAGCACTCTATTATAAAATTGTAAAGGATGCACATCACTTATCTGATTAAAAGAATCACTATTAATTAATAAAATACATAAAAGCACTCACAAGCATATGTGTGGATTTGCACTCAAAAGAACCCAGGTAGAAGTTTTAAACACAGTCTCCCCTACTCTGCAACAGAGTAGCAGTGTGGTTCTGGTCTAGATGGCAGGGGACTCACCCACGGCTCCTACAGTGGCATCCTTGTTCCTGGGAAGCATCCTCTCTGAGTGAGGGGGTGTCTGCATCTAGGTATGGATAACTAAACAATTGTTCGAAGGCACTCCTTTCTCAAGCAGTTTTTTACACTATAGAAATCTTGTAGTTCTGTTAAGAAAAAGTGATCCTTTTACAGTACTCAATGGTGTGCACCCTTTATGATTGTCTTATAAAATACATATTACATACTATGTGAAGACTCTCCTCTCCTGCTACGATGAACTTTATTTGAAAGAAACAAGAATTATCTACTCTGACAATGATCATATGCTTGAGCATATAACAAATTAATTGTGAGTGCAATTTCAGGCTGTTTTCTTTCCCTTTAATTTCTACCTCTTTTTATTTTACTCTGGTGTTTTAATTTCATGCTCAACCATAATTGGATCAGCAGGACCTTTGGAATTCCTATATGAACTGTCATCCATGGGACTCTTTAGGACTTGCCCATACTGCATCATTTATCAGTACTTTTTATTCATTTTCTCATTTTCTCTTTTCTTCTGGGAGTGTATATAGTGAACATTGTAGCCACTGTTTCCAATATTGTGCACATACATCTCTGTTTTTTATTTAAATGGGAGAAATTAATCTCTTATGACATATTTTCCCCTCCCATTTTGCTGGATGCCCCATTGCCTAGAGTATAGATTTATAGATATAGATACCTTTTTGCAACTACCAATCTCAGAAAACACATTTGAGTAATTCCAAGGAGGCTGTAGATTATATGCCAAACATCATAGGCATACAGGCACAAAAACATTACACACCAGTACCTATGTATTGCACATACACATACATCAGTTTACCATCACCAGTGTATAAGCCATGCTTACAAAAAATTAACATTATGTAGGTAAAAGCAACAATGTAGAAACTATTGTGATACAAGGTAGAGAGTTCCAAAGACAGAGGACATAAAAGTACAGTTTTGCACAGGGTGCAACCTAATGCTGGTTCTAATTATAGAAAGTAAAATATGAACATTAATTTTGTGTTTTAATTCGTGTATCATTTTAGATCATGTACATTTATAAAGTTAAGTATCAGAAAAATAAATTACCATTCTATGCAGTGGTACCACTATCCAAAAATTATCCCTAGTTTAATGAGAAATTAAACCAAAAGTAGGATTTATATTGCAGCACAGCATAGCACAGAGTAGAAAAAAGAAGACTGTTTTGAACTGATTGGGAATGGTAGATTAAATACAAAGCTGGCTGGTTTGACTGCTGGAGCAAAGTGCCAGTCTTGTGATTACAGCCACAATGGGACCTCCATGTTGGCAGTTGTAATATGTTAAGCCTGTCTATATTTCATGCAATTTCCATCTGGCATGAAATCTCAGACAAAGCGCATTATTGAGATCTCTTCTGTTTAAAATGGTTTTATCTGGTTTACTATCAATTTCCATGGTCAGGCTTATTTAGAGACACAGAGGGGTTTGGTCCCTCTAGCTATATCATTGCATAATAATTATAAAATTATGTGAAGCTTAGCAGATCTGCAAAGCTGTGAATTTCAATCAACTGTTGAAAACTTTTTCTTTGCAATGGACAAAGAGCATATTGAGGTGGTGTTAGTTTTAGTGGACTCTCTAACCTGCCAAATTACTTTCCATATCTCTAAAAAAAACACTCTTGTTGAACAACTAGTCCTTATGTGATAGTGATATTAATAGGGTTGTTGTATGTTTGATAAGATTTTTTGTTCCAGTCTATTTCTGCAAAGAAAATAGACAATGATAATCAATGTTCAGCATAGGGGTCTGAATTTATGCTATAGTACAAAGGAGACAAGTGAGATTCAACCCAGAGCAATCAATCAGATTCTACCATTGGATTGTTGCTAATGAGCGCTATTAGGATTTATTTAAACTACTGTGCAATACCATCTCTGTTCTACTGCCCGTAGAAGTAGAATTAAGTGTTTTACAAAACCAGAAATATCAGGAAAACCGCAAGTTTCAATCAACTTTGCACTGCGAATCTTACTGCCTGTTTTAAGGATATGCAGTGCTAGTATCACATAGATATCATGGATTATAATGCAGACATTTGGTTCTCCAAATTCAAATCTGTACATGTACACTACAGTATGTAAACCTTCAATGCTTAACACTGAAAACATTACAACATTGTAATATGTAACATTGAAAACAAAAGTTTTGTAAATTGGATACACAGTAAAATTGCTATATATTGATTTGTTCTATGTATGATGGTGCTCTGAATGACATTAAGGAGGTACCATAGTTGCACTGAGATGCAGTAAGTTGTGCATTTTCACAATATTTATAGCCATCTAGCACTGTGTGGTACATACATTCATTTCTTCACACACATTCATACATTTGAAGGTATGGATACCAAAACATTCCCTTGGTGAAGAGAAAAAAAATCCTGGATTAAGTAAACACTTGACACTTTGAGGTTGATTTGCCAAAGGCAACTAGGCTATTAACTTTGCAAGCTCTGTTGACTTTTACCATCCAATCATGTGAAGGAAAGATATATTTTTTATTTTCCTTGCACCCAATTGTTCATTATTTGCAAAGCTATTTTCTGAAACATTCACTAAGTTAAGGGAAAAATTCCTTGCAGAGTGAAAATTCTGTTTTCATAGTAAACAGCCTATTTGCCTTTAGTAAATTGACCCCTTTGAGTTTGTAGCAAATTACTTCATTCTGGTTCAGTTAAGTCTTCCACATTTGTACCTAAACTGACAAAACATATTATCTCCTTGAAGAGACTGGGCAATGCCATAATTAACTATAGAAAAAGGCAAAGACATGATGTAGGAAACCATCTTTCATTCAATATGTTTAACAGTTAGTTTATCAATTTCAATAGATTAATATGTTATAGAAGTCTTTTTTTCCGTCAGTATTCACAATTAAGTTATTGGCCAGACTTTACTGTCAACAGCTATATGCATTCAAGTGTAAAAAACAAAAGGACTTTCCTTTGCAGCCTTTCCACTCTTTTTACTGTTATCTGTAGTATTGTTGAATCTTAATTTTTTTAAGTAATTCTCACAGTTGTAGCCGAGTCATTCTGAATACTCGCTGTATAATGATGTAATTTCATGTGATGAATGAATCACAGCTAGGGATGTCCCGATACACTTTTTTAAGACCAAGTACAAGTACTTGCCCTCAGGTACTTGCCAATACCAATTACCGATACTTTTTCTTAAAGGGCCATGTGACATTTTTTCTCAAAACAACGCAGACTAATGATTTTAGGGCAGTTTCTCACCCGGGCTAAATACAGATGTCTCCAGAGCAGAATACAGATGTCCGCAGAGCACAATACAGATGTCCGCAGAGCACAATAGATCCCACCAGAGCAGAAGGCTGCAGTCTCAACTGGGCGGCATGTGGATCTCTGCAGGGCTCTCAGTTGATCGGACGGGTGTCGGTGTCCGGAGCTGTACTGTGCTGTGTGTGGGGCTGTTCATGGCTGTGCCTGTGCCAGGAAGAAGGAGCAGGAGGTATAGAAACGGACAGGCACTGCCAGGGACAGCTACTGCCAGGACCCCAGCAGGCTGCCGAGGTCCCGACAGAAATGTAAAGGGCCGGCATCGGCCATAAGAATCGGGGCATTTCCACAAGTACAAGTACTCATGAAAATGTCTGGTATCGGGACATCCCTAATCACAGCGATAACAAAAATGTTATAATCCATAACAAATCTGAACATATCCCTGGTACTCTTGGGCTCGTGGTAGGAATAGTTCAACCCTAAACAAATTTTGAAGAATAATTACCTAGCATGAGTTTTTATTCATAACAAAGCTAAGACACTGTAATAAGTACCAGAATGAGTTACAGCTTATTCATGGTAATATAAGTATATATTAAGACTATCCTGTAACAATATTGTCACAAGTATACTTGTATGTGTGTCTTTCAGGGCAGTTCTGACACAAAGTATGAAAAAGGTGACCCTGTGAGTATACATACGATACTTATATTGCTATTATAAACCATATTATTACATTGGAATATAATCTTGACATCTTTAATGCATTAAAGGGGCACAAAATTAAACCAATCCCAAAAATGTTTGACTTGCTTGAGTGGAATTTTCGATTTATTTGAAGACATTTCAAGATGTCTGTCCTGATGCAAGCTTTCCTAGGTGGTTAACATTATTAAGAGATCATTTTGATTATAAGAAAATCAATACCACATGCACAAACTATTTAAACCCCTCATATCCCCATGGCAAAAATCCCTTTCTGTATAACCCATCGAAGCACTAATCAATTAGATCTTATGACATCTTCAATCCTTAGTCCATCTGGAGTTGTATCAGGCTCATATTGTTCATGATATTATGATAAAATGTATAAAATGGAAATTTAAAAAATGCAAGCTGAATGATTCATTGTAATAGCCTGATGATGATTGATATAGATATTGATTGTTGAAAACTGTAGACAAATAGGAGTAATTTTTCAAAACATTATTGTTGGTGTCAGTGGTTAAATATGTACTTTTCAGATTTAAATTTCTGAAGATTTAAAGCCATTTCTTGTTCACATAGCATAGCATAATATGTTTTCATTTTCATAAATTAACAGTATATATCAAAAGGCATGCATTTCTTATGACAATCATTGTTTCTTTCCCTGCCTTGTGTATTAAACTTAATACAGGTTGAGGTTTAGCTTTTATGAATGCTTAGATTGCAATGTAATTATTGAAAGTATTTCCAAAGTTAAACTATCAGAATCTAAAATATCAGAATTTAATGAACATTTTACTTTTTTAGGGAGAGGCTGGAGTTAAAGGAGAACAAGGAGTGAAGGTAAATTATGGAAAAGTTGTTTTTTTCAAGCAGTATTGTTGAGCCATTCCCTAAGGCAATGTGAACAGTGGGTGCCCCTTGCATTACATGTAATCCATATGGCAGTCTTCATTTTCATTTGTAACTCATCAAGGCATTCTGCATTGGCAGTTTTGAGAAACCAGAATAACTTATTCTGCAATTAATGGTTCTGCCTACAGGCATATATAGGCACATGCTGATGTACACCTTCTGCTGTGGGCACCATTGTGAGAGCAGTAGGATGGAAATTACAAACAGGTATTGCCATTCTTCAAGAAAGTCAACAAATACATTTATTACAGTCTATGGCAGTAGCATCAAACCTAAAAGGGCTCAAGGACCACAATTGTAACCACAAGTCAAATTTGGGGCTGCATCTAAATCAACTATTTTTTTTGTACGATTTCTAAAACATTTCAAATTGCATAGTATGTGAGGTTGAAAAAAAGACACAGGTCCATTAAGTTCAATCTTTCTGTCTCTGTGTGTGAGTTGTGTGTGCGTGTTTATATGAGCCCCTGGGTAAACTAGTAGTTAAGAGTACCTGTACCCTTCTGTATTACGGTGTCTTAGGATCCATTCGAATTTTGAATGTTCAATAATCTCTGCTGATACCACTGCTTGTGGCAGAGAGTTCAGAAATTTTACTGTTCTAACTGAAAAGAAGCCCCTATGCCCTTTGTGCTTACAATTTATTTCCACCAATTTTAGGTGGTGGCCTCCAGTCTTTTTGCATTTTACATTTTGCAACCTTGCCTTATAGCTTTAATCCTCCAGCCCCTTAGTTAGCTTAGTTGCTCTTCTCTGGACTCTCTCCAGCTCCAGGACATCTTTTCTTTGGACTGGTGATGAAAACTGAACCGCATACTCAAGATGAGACCAGTGATCTATAAACTGGAAACATTATTGCTTTGTCTCTACAATACATTCCCTTTTTAATACAAGACTGTACTCTGCCAGCTTTGTTTTCTGTGGCCTGGCATTGCATGCTGCTAATCAATCTGTGGTCAGCTATCACCCCCAAATCTTCTTCCATTTCTGACTTCCATAGTGGAGATCCCATTAATGCATATTCTGCTTTCCTTTTTTTAACCACAAAATGCATTACTTTACATTTTTCAACATTAAACCTCATCTGCCATATAGTTGCCCACACCACTAGTTTATCCAGGTCCTCCTTTAATGTTATAATGTCTAAGTCCATGTCTATTACCCTCCCAATTTTAGTATCATCTGCAAACACAGCAACACAGCAATATAATTAATAAACAGGTTAAACAGTATTGGGCCTAGCACAGAACCCTGGGTCATGCCAGTCTCGACTTTAGAGCAATCTGAAAAAGAGCCATTTAGTAATACTCTGTGGACACGTTCCTGTAGCCAGTTCTCTATCCATGTACACATAATTTTACCTATGTCCATAGATTTAAGCTTGTGTATTAAGCATTTATGTGGTACTGTGTCAAATGCTTTTGCAAAATCCAGGTGCACCACATCCACTGGTTTACCTCTATCTACTCACCTCTTCGTAGAATGTTAGTAGGTTGGCCTGACAAGAACGGTCCTTCCTAAATCCATGCAGATTATCACATATTATACATTTGTCACGAATAAAATCCACTAAATAGACCTTTATCATTGCCTCAGTTTGCATACTATTGATTTTAGACTGACTGGTCTCTACTTCCCAGGTTGGCATCTTGAACCTTTTTTGAATATTGGTACTGCCATTGCCTTACGCCAATCACTTGGTACCCTTCCAGTTATTAACAAGTCCTTGAAGATGAGGAATAGCGGTCTTGCTATAGTCTGACCAAGTACTCTAGGTTGCAGGTTATCTGGTCCTAACAATTTATTTGCATTGTTTTTACAGTCTTTGTTGAACCCCACTGTGGTATCTTACGCCCCAAGAAGTTCACATTCTTTTTTCTATTTAACCTGTCTTCCTCTTGTATACTGAGGAGAAAAATTAGTTTAATAACCCAGCCCTCTCCCATTTTTTTTGCGGTTAATCTCCCCGTTCTCATCTTTTATTGGGCCTACCTGCTCTTTTCTTACCTTCTTACTGTTTATATATTGGAAGAATTGTGGGGGGTTTTCTTACTGACTGTGGATTATATGTTTTTCGTAATCCTTTTTAAGCTGCCCAGATTTCATGTTTACATCTTTTTTTACATTACTTGTACCTCTTGAATGCTTTTGCATTCTCTGATAATTCTCTGATAAAAGCTCTGATAATTCTAAATCATGTCATATTCAAATGAGCCAGTCAGTGCTCCTTCTTTTGTTGTTATATGAACTGACACTAATATGTTTGTGAATTTCAGATAACTGATTTAAAAATTCCTAAAACCTGAAATTCTTAAATTACATTTTTTGTTTAATTTTTATACTGTACTACTCACTATATGTTTACTCATCACCTCTTTTTTCAACTTTTGCTTGAAATCTGGCAATTCATAGAAGAATGGATTAAAAATACCTCATGTATATGTGATTGTTCTTTTTTATTTTAGGGTGAGCTAGGACATCCAGGATTGCCCGGATTTGCAGGAGCTCCTGGTCCTCAGGTAATATTTTTGATTTGACCCCCTTATAGGATGCATCTAAATTATTTATAACTGCTTTGGCTAATACTGTATGGCAGAAATAACCACTAAACAACATATAGGTCATCTGCACAGTAACAAGTAACAAAGGCCATATACAGTATTTTATTTTAGTAGTATCTTAGAATTAGATATGAATAACTTATACATTAGAAAGAAAGACCAAGGCTATATGGAACTACTTTAAAACTAATGCTGGGAGTTGTATTTAGGTAAGTAGTACTATGCTTTCCCAAATATTTTAAAATAGACCAGATACCGTGACCTTCTGGTACTGCCTCTGCAAGGTGTTTATTGAATCCTATGGTAATATTTTAATATCTTGCCTTTATTTATTGTGGTTTTAATTTACAATGTTTCAGGGAGAAAAAGGGGAACCTGGATTCGTTGGACCACAAGGCCCACCAGGAGGAGTGGTATGCTTTGTTTAATGGAATAACATGATATGTTTTTAGCAGTTGTACAACCTTATAAACACTTGCTATGAATATAACAGAGCTTAAATAATCTTTATATAATATATTTTACAAATTTAAAAAATCTTATATAATTTACTACCTAATTGTTGAACAACACATTATATATCTTTAGTTACTGTTTCGATGTTTCAGTACAAATCTACCACAGGCCTATGCAATTAGAAGGTACAAAGACCAATAAGATGTTCAAAATGCAGAACCCCACAAATGTAAAATCACTGCATTATATAATTTTAGGATATGTATCCTTATTTAACCACCTCCTGTCCTGCCGTTTTAATTAAACGGCCGCACAGCGGCTTCTTGGATGCGGGTGGGTGTTTTTAAACGTCCCTACCCGCCCTGCTCATGCCTGCCAGAAGGCAGCGCGCACAAGCGAGATCTCAGCTAGACATGTAAACAGCCAGCGATGGACATGTTTGGTGTCTATTTACCCGACGTGGCCCCGTGACCCTGTCTTTTATACTTTACCAAAAATGTGGGTAATAATGTTTTATAACATAATGTAGGTAGAACAGGTTTTTTTCAAAATTTTCTGTACTTTTTCATTATATAGTAAAAAATAAAAACCCCAGTGGTGATTAAATACCACCAAAAGAAATCTCTATCTGTCCCCATAAAATGGTGCAAAATTTTATTTCAGTACAGCGTTGCATGACGGAATAAATGTCAGTCAAAGTGTCGCAGCGCTGAATACTGAAAAATGGCCTGGACAGGAAAAGGATCATCAAGTGGTTAATTAAATTTTCTTTATTGCTAATTTCTAAGTACAATAATGTATAGCAACCAATCAGATTCTGCTCTTTTGAAGTCAGACATGTATAAGATGAATTATGTTTGGTTACTATAACCTACTGTACTTAATCATTAGCACCTAAGGAAGAACACTCTTTATTGACAAGGACTGATGGTTGCTTATTATGTGCTACAGACTAACGTGCTTTGTACATTTGATTACATTTATTAAATAAGGTTGAATGTTTTACCTTTACTATCAGGAGACTAATGAATGTTATGTTTGAAGATTGTGGGTGACTGAAAAAATGTGTCAGTTATTTATGAACAGAACCTGAAAACTAGCTCAGTCATGAAGGGGTTAATTACCTGTTTTTATCTAGGCACTGAAATTTACCTGTAAGAGTATCTGTCTCGCTTTTCTCCATAGTAGTCATTATGCATCTCCAGCTTTGTTCTCTTTATGCGAAGTAGATATATTTAGAATATGCATAGTGGCAAGAGTATGCTTCATAAGAACTAAAGTTGGGACAGTTGGCGATTAAAAACCCCAACAGGACATTTTTCACTGACAAAATCACTTTAAGGTGAAAGGAACAACATGGAGGTTCAAGCTTGCAGTTGAATTTCCACATTATTTAATTTAGTTTCATGTTTTATCCTGTTGAATCTCCACAGATGGGTGACATTTTTTTGGGTGCTTTACTCGTTCTATTTATAAGTCAACTAGAATATAAAAAATATTTTTTGAAAATGCACAACATATACTAGGAGTGATGTAATAATAAGAATGTTTTGTTGCCTTCTCACTTTTCTATGTTTTTCTTTTTTATGTAACAGGGATTGCCAGGGGAAAATGGCATCCCAGGAAAACAGGGCAGTAAAGGGGAGAAGGTAATTTTTTATTTTATTTTATTGTTTCTTCCTAATAGTCAATTTTACTAGTAGTTTTCAGAATTGCAATTTTCAACATATCTGTTTAATTCACATTTTTGTGAGTCATTCCTATAAATAACAGCCTACTATGTTATTCATACATTTCTTATATGATGCTGTAATTAGCCATATGTTTTCTGGGCACTGTATTACTAATCTACGGATTACAGTACATAAAAATAACTAAGGCAATGTATGTAGGGCACAGACCAAGGTAGAAACATTTACATTCAGGGCACTGCCAATTCAGCAGCTCTTTCAGCTTTCCCAGGGGCATTACTTCACATTTGCTATCCTTTAAGATCATCTCCACACTGTTAGTGAAGACCAGTGCATGGAGTGGGAATCAGTGGTAAACCATGATGGCCAAAATGTTTCAAAGGGAACAAAACAAATCAAAATTAACTTTTTTCAAGAATACAGCAAGAATACAAAATATTCTAAAATATTTGAACGTGAAAGAGAAATGAATGTATGAGTAATATATAAGAATAAGTTATTTTTTTGTGGAGTTGTTTTGTTGAATTAGAAACACTTTAATCCCCCTCTGTAATACTTGAAGGGAACTCTAATGCAGTATTTACTTCCAACATGTACAGCAATAACTCTGAGTGCTAAAGACTTTCCTAAGAATAATTATTAGGCAAATTCTTCTGCAAGTTCTTCAAGCTAATGGATTAGCAAGTGACAGCTACTTTCAGTTTGACTATATGTTCAGATACTCTTATCTGATAAAATCTAAAATCAATGGTTGAATATGGGCAGATTATTAGAGATTGGACTTTTTCCCACCCCCAGGCTCCCCCGGCTTCCCCATACCATGCTGAAAGATTTTAGCTTATCCCTGTATTAGTCATCAAATCCATACTAGACTGAAAAACAAAAATTGTCTACTAATGATGTACATGATATAACTTCATCTACTCTGCAAACAGCGTACAATTTGGCTATTGGGGAAAATATAATGTCTATGTGTGCAGACATCAAGCTTAATAATCCTTTAGAATTTTGTCTCGGCGAAGAGAAAAACATACAGCATTAATGTCAGGAGGCACTCCAATAGACAAAAGCATGCTATCTGTAAGAGAGCAATTACAGCTCAATGAACTGTCATTGTTGGCTTGTGGGCTGTACAATATTCATTAAAGAAAATAACTTACAAATACACATTTACTAGAAACCCATGGACTGATCACATTTCTGAGAAATAACAGCTTCTTTCCCAGACTTATAGCAGAGACAGTTGTTTACAGTCGAGTTGTAAGACAAGAAATATCTACCTTTTGCATCTCGGTATGGATTTTATAAAACAGTCATTTAGGGGGTTTATTCACAAAGCTGCCAAAGGCAGCCAAGTAAATAACCTAGCCGCAGTGAAGTGAGCCGAACAACAATCGGCTATTCACTACGGCTCAGTGCGGCCATTTGGCCTTCGGCAGCACTAAGGTCAGCCATGCTCTGCATGTTCAGCTGAGCTGAAGTGCAGAAAGACTTTGGGGTTGATTTACTAACCTTTTAAACACACCACGAACGTGTATACACCTCTGTAGTGTGTTCCCTCCCAGCATGATCTATGGGAGGAATCGAAACACCTTTGTAGTGTGTACACACCCAGCAGGTGTGTTGTGGAAAGCCCTGCAATGAATTGCAAGGTAATGTGGTGTAAATTAGCTCTATGTTATGTTGCTTGCGTTGATGAATGCAGGAATGTAAATGCATGAGCTAACCATTTTTGTCTAAACTGTGAAGCAGCATTATATATGCATCATGTGCATGATTTTTCCATATATGGCATTAGTGGAAATATGCTTTTAGAGACTTTTTGGTTGATAAATACGTTTTGCTGTGTGAAAATCACACACACCTGGTGTGTGTGTGTGTTTAGGTTAGTAAATCACCCCCTTTGTCTCAGTCGATCCAACACCTGGATCAGCTGAGCCAAAGCTCCGCCAGCTCACTCGCTGCCATTCACCCATACTTACATAGGGGCAGAATGGCAGTGAGTGAATAGCCGAATGCCGCTGAGTGGCGTTCGGCTCGGCTATTCTGCTTGGCACCTCTGTGGTACTGAGCAGAATAGCAAATCAATAAAAATAGTTTAAAAAAAAAAGAGTTGAAAAATAATTCTAAAATGTGAATAAATTCAAAAATTCAAAAATAAATAGATTTAAAAATAAAAAACAATTGGGTGGAGCTAGCAGTGAAAGCTAGCTCCGCCCAACTGTTTCCTATTGGCCGGCACCTGCTAGAGTCTTCTAGCAGGTCCCGGCCAATGAATAACAAGTGGGCGGAGCCGAGCCGTGATCTCACGGCCGGCTCCGCCCAGTTGTTATTGTTTAATGACAGTTCGGCATCCCCAGGTCATTTGAGGACGCTGAGCTGTCATTACAACTGGCCTTTCGCCCTGCTTCAGCTGACACATCAGCTCACTGGAGCCGAAGCAAATGCCTTCGGCTCAGCCACCTTCAGGTGCTGTACGGGCTATAGTGAATAGCCCGTACAGCAGCCCTTCAGTTCGACTTAACCGAAGGGCTCCCGCAACCGAAGCTAGCCGAAGGATCAGCCAAAGCTATGGCTGGATCCTTCGGGAGCTTTGTGAATAGACCCCAAAGTCTAGAATCAACTGATGCTGAGATGAAGAAAGTAATCAGCATTTCTAGAGGCAGTCTTGTGCAACGTAAAAAGCCATAACCATCAAAGAGTCTGTGAAGGGATGATGGGCAGAGCCTCCCATGTACACACACACATGTACACAGATGTGTCCTGCCTCTCGAATATGCTGTCCTACTACCACTTTGTTCTGCTGATCCAGAACCTGCTTGCCCCTTCTATCTGCACATGAAGAACACCTGATTCTCCATCCTCAATCCTGATGATTACAGGGGATTGCTTATTTTACTAACCGCTACGGCAATAGGGGGATTTAGGATGTGGTTATTTGGTGCACTAAACTGTACCACACTAATATGTGGTGATGTGCTGCAAACAAAGGGCAGCTTTGCCTGTGTCCGGAACAAGTTCAAGGTGCTTACCCTGAATAAGCGCAAAAATGGTTTAACCTTAAATACAACCCTAAAACACTAAACCCCAAATCCTATACTTTTTAACCTAACTTTAAGTTACTGTAAGTAAAAAATAAATATGATAACATGAAATAAAATAAAAATAACCACCCCCCAACAAAAAAAACTTCAAAGAAGGGTCTAGTTACTATTTTGGAGCAACGCTTTTATTGAATTCACCCAAAATGTTAAGTATACTGCAGTACCATGATCATAACCCAAGTTATTATTTGTTTCATAGGGAGAAACTGGTGGCATCATGGGACCTCAAGGACATCCTGGTCCTAAGGGAGATCCAGGACCACCTGGATTTGGTTTGCCAGGGGAACCGGCAAGTATATGTTTACTTTTTTATAACATGAAATGTAGTTCTGATCTCCAGAATGCTTTTTTACAAATATGTCTTTGTTTTACATTTTTTTATGGAAAATTAAATACTACATGGGTTGTCCTAAATGATAACTCTAGTTTGTTCGATTAGAATGTATCTATTAGATCCTATTGTACTTTAGTATAGGTGGATCATTAGGTTAAAAGCTTAGCTTCCGCTCAATACTTTTGGCTGCTTTGTATCAGCAGTTATTGACTACTAAAATTATAATACAACAAAGTACTAGAATTGAGTATGTTGGAAAAAGTTCTTCAATTTGGAAAGTTGTTAATATTTTATTGTGGGGATTCTTTACATTAAACCGGAACTTGACTCCCCAATTTAACTCTCGAAAAGAGTTACTTGCAAGGCATGCCAACTGTCAAGTTTGCCAGTGTGCTTATTTCAGCTCTCAACCATATTTTCAAGCCCCCGAATGGCTTGTGTCCTAGCTGATCACATGTGGAGCACCATGACAACTGCAATCCAAATAGAGACTTAGATGGCTGTAAAACATAGGAGGGTGTAGTTCCGCTTTAAGGGAAAAAAATATTTAGTCAACTATACAGCAGTACACACCACTACATTTTATTGGGTAGAGGGCACTAAATATATCTCATGGAAAAAAAATTTTTTATTACTAATGCAGGCTTCATTATGTCTACTGAACAAGCCTCAGACCAACACCTGGGTCCTAATGTGGAAAAGAAGCAGGTGTTCTTTAGCTGACATCTCCCTAACAAAACTGCCACCATATGTGGGGTGTGACAGAGTCCCTGGGGTGTTAGTAAAAGGCTTGTGCACTTGTACACAGAAGGTGTTATAACTTGCAAGGGAGCTCATGTTTGAGTGTGGAGGAGAAAAAAAAAATACAGCATCGAAGGGAGAAGCTACATTTTAGGAATGTGCTGTACTTGTAACAATGATAAAGAGAACTTCAGTTTAAAGTCTTCATAACTCTCACCCAAAACGTCCTTCGAATGTCATGCTAACCCATGTTTCAGTGCTTTATCGAAATGTCACTCCTGAATTTTCATACACCAATCATGCAGACTGAGCCAGTGCAGTGAACTAGACTGAGACAAAGGAGTTGATTTATTAAAGGAATAGAGGCAGTCCACCTAGCAAGTGAATGTTGGCTTTATGAAGTGAATGTTCTTAAAAAAGGTGAACCTGTGTTTACTTTGAGTATCTAGCCATGTGCAAGGGAATTGTTTTTTGGTAGCACATAATTGGGTACTTAAAGCAAACACAGCTTCAGGTTATTTACTAATAATTACTTTACTTGGCAAATAACCTATATTCATTCCAATTTGTGTTTACATTAAGTAGTTCTCCTTATATTCTCTCTAGTTTTATATGTTGTGAACTAGTTCTGCCAATGTTATAACATATTTCACCAAATTTTTCTTTTTCTCCATTTCTTTATGGTGTTATTTTCTAATATGTCTTTGTTCATACTCCATATAGAACAATAAACCCAAAACTTTTTGTTTATTTTAAAGAGGAACTCCAGGTTTTACAAAAATGAACCTTTGCAATGGTGCTACCCCCTCATTTCAAGGGTTAACTGCTTATTTTTGCCTGAGGGCTCAAATAAAGAAGAAATACTCACTGATCCTTGATCCAGCCCGGCTGCTAGAGCGGTTCCCACAGCCACTTCTACAACGGGCTACAGCAATCTAAGCTCCACTGACGTCATCATGTCTAATACAGTCTATTCACTTGTATTAGATGTGAGAATGCTGAGGGAGATACCACAGCCAGAGCAGAGGGGAAGAGAGATGAGCAGTTACTGCTGCAGTACTGAGGATCAGGTGAATATTTCTCCATTTGAGCCCCTAGAGAAAAATTAACAGTTAACCATTGCAATGCAAGGGTTAATTTTTATAAAACATGGAGTTCTTTAAAGTGCCATGTCTTTAAAAAAATTCCTGCATAAAATGTGTCACTTTGCAGTTTCTGATGTGCCTTTCTGTAGTTATGTGATTTACATATTCAGTATTGTATAGAATGTCTAATTACATCTTATGGGTAAGAGATCTATATCAATAAATCAGCACGGTTATGTTCAAAGTGGAAGCATATAACCTCGTATATATAACCTGAATGTCAGGGAAATTCAAATCATTCATCCACAGTTGCCAGATAATACTGAGCATTCAGTATTGCTCCCAATAGAATATATTTAATTCTACATCATAATATGAGTGACCCTCTTGAACATTACTAAAAAAAGATAATTTAACCCTTTTTTTATGCACTGTCATGTACATGTGTCCCAATTGCAATGATATGAACTAGCCTGCGGGTGGGGTATCATACACAACTAACTGGATCACCCAAAAGGAGGACTGTATGTGATTTCAAAAAGTGTCAGCCAAATATTATTTTAAGTAAAGAGATTATAGGCTTTAGCACAAGGGTGAAAAGAACAAAACTTTTTTTAGCCACATGACTTACATTTTTAGTTATTGGAATAAATGTCACATTTTTAATAAAGATCTTGCTGTGCTAGCATTGTGAATTGAGCATTATGTGTGGCCCAATAAACTCACAGGGGGACATTTATTAATACTGTCACAGGGCAAAGCAATGTTAAACAGGAGCAGTGAGCTGGATCCATGAATTCCTCCCTCAAGTGCTCTATATTAGCACTGCAACAGAATGAAACCTGACCCCGACCATGTCTTAATTATGCACTTGTTTTGGGGCCGGTTCACAAAGTCTAAGTTCCAGAGCGTTCGGCCTCTGGAACGCAAGCTGGGTGGGAGGGTGCGTAGCGGTGCATTGAAGTCAATGACAACACAGTCATGCCCACAGTGCGATCGCCCTAACCTGGAGCGCAGGCACGTGAGTGCCTACATTGCGGTCCAGTGCGATCTGCAAAAATGCTGGAAGCACTAAAGTGACAGTCTATTTCATCTTCAGCAATACACACACAGGGCTGTAAACCTGTTGTGGAGAATTGCTGAACAAGAGTGAGCCTGATTTGTTACTGATTGCAAGGGGAATTTATCAGAATCTGGAGCAGTTGCCCGTAGTAACCAATCAGCTTCTCTTTCAGTTTGTTCGGTACAGCTTTGAAAATGAAAGAGATAAGCTGATTGTCATGGTTGCCATTCACAGTTGCTCCAGATTTTGTCTGCTCCTGTTTTGATAATCTCCCCTATGTGTTGTTAACTTGCTTAATAAATGTGCCCTGTAACACTTAAGAAAGTGATAGGCCCCATTTACACCTGCATATACGGGCAGTCTCACAAATTCCTCCATGAGAATCAGTGGTATTTATGTGAAAAGCGCTATACAAAGCAGTGAGAGGCTGACCTCACCCGTGGCTGTTTACAGCCGTTCGCATGTAATTAGACATGCAGTGATTACCTGTAGATGATGGCTTCTAAAAGCACACTGTTTACATGCAGGCGTGATGTAACTAGTTGCTGCAAGTCCAGTTATATGCGAATGGCTGCAAGCTGCTGGGTCCCCACTGTGTCTCATAAGACTGCCCCTAAACGCAAGTGTGAATAGTCCTTAATGCAGTAGGTTAAAACATAGAATCATCTTGAAAGTATACACTTTCTTAGACATGCCAAAAATCTCCTTGTAATAAGTATTTGTATTATGTATTCTATTTTTATTATTTTTCTTTTATTCATTTTCATTTCTACCAATTTTAGGGACCAGCTGGAGATTTAGGCGCACCTGGTCCAAGAGGTCCAAAGGTATGTTAACTGTACCTTTACCTGTGAAAATTATTCAAATATCTCCATAGTTCAGAAAGTCTGTTTTTTAATATTCACATCTCTATTGAAGTCCACGTTAAATTCTCTATTGAAATCCATGTTAAACAGCTAATTTCAATTTATCCCACCACCATATTTTAAATAATAGTCTAGCACTGTGTAGGCATTATTTGACCTAATAGAAGCAGCTTTATAAATGGGTCTGTTAACCTGGAAAACCCTTATATTTAAGGAATGCTGACAAGTGGCTATAATAAATTCTTAGATTGTAAGCCCTTACGGACAGGGCCCTCCTTACCATCTTGTCTTGAATTGTATTGTAATTATAATGTCTTCTCTATATTGTAAAGCGCTACGCAAACTGTTGGTGCTATATAAATCCTGTATAATAATAAAGAGCATTGGATTGGGAACAATATATTTGTACACTAAGATCCTGTTCGCACTAGCCGCATGGTAAACGCAGTGTTTTATCGCATGGCTAGTGTACAATGAAATGTCAGCGGTAAGCCTTGGTGCCTTGCATTATTACAACTCAAGGCACTGTTTACATTTTTTTCTTTTAAAAAAAAAACTTTATTTGGAGTGTACAAACCATTCAGGCCCTTGCACAACAGCGTGGTGTTCTGCAATATGGTCGCCTGTGTTGTCATCCAGCTCACTGCAGAAAAACGCAGCATGATCTAAATTTTTTCACAACGCACCACACCGTTCATCGTGCATTGCAGTGTGAACAGGGCACATGGAAAACAACTGTTTACTGTGTGCTCTTGTGGAGAGCTGCATTTTTCCAATGTTGAAAAACACAGCTCTCTATCCATGTGTGAATGGGCCCTGATGCTTTTTTCAGAAACAAATGCCTCAAACTTTGGTCTAGCAACAGAGGTGTATTAGTGATGGTTAAGCACCAAACCATGACAATTATTACACTTGTAAATATGTGGCACAACTTTTTTCTAAATGTATGCAAAATTTTGACAGGAGGGAAAGAATGATAGTTGCATAACAAATGATTTTTTTAATTTATACTTTGAAAATAGGGAGAAAGAGGTTTGCCTGGTGTGCAAGGACCATCGGGTGATGCAGGGTTACCTGGAATCAGCAAAGATGGTCCCCGTGTAAGTAAACATTAATTTTTTTCTTAAACGGTAAGAATATTAAGTAACAAAAAAAAAACACTTTGGGGAGGTAGTTTATTTGAACATAATTGCAAAATCTGGTTAAAATGACCAATAAAAAAATCATTATTTGTTTTCTGAATATGGTGAAATGCTAAATAAGTTGGAAAAAGGTGAAAAGAGCATATAGTCTGTCCACTTTGTATTTAAAACCCAAAAATCTCAGTGCAGCTTAATTTGCAATATGTTCCCCTTTATATATACTTGTATGTAAATCTATTTCTTCTCTTAATGGAAAGTTTCCTATTATTCCCATTTCTGTTTTAACCATAAGAGGCCATAACACTTATCATTCAGTTAAAGGAGAACTGTGAGGTGAGTGCTTTTCACTCACCTCATAGTTCTAGCTGACCTGTGACAATGAGACTGTCACACGTCAGCTCAGTAGATCGGGAAGTGAGCAACACATACTGGCGTTCGCTCACTTCTTGATCCTGTCACAGCTCTCTGCCGTGACAGGGGAGTGGCTGGATTATCCCTCCCCGCTCCGATCCTCCAGCGCCGACTGGCGGAGCGGACGGGGGAGTGGCGGGTACAGCTGGCTCTGTCTCTAGATAGGCAGAGCCAGCTGTCACTCACGCAGCTGGGCAGATCCAGACAGCATTGTCGGGATCCGTTTCAGCTGCGGCGTCTCAGTATACCGCAAGCTGTAGCTCGCAGTATACTGAGCTTAGGGTGATGGGAGGACGCTAGTTTGTGTCCTCCCTTTACCCTAAGGAGAACTATGGGGAAAAGCCCAAACCCCATAGTTCTCCTTTAACTAATCTCTCACAGACAACACAGCTTAGAAATTGTATTTTTAGAAACTAGTAGCAAAACAGAAAAATACCAAACCTGTTTCTCACAGCTACCAAAGATATTCAGACCTGCCTTTGAAATTTAAGTGGGATTGCTATTACAGGAAATATTGACTGCAAAAGTAAGACAGCACAGCACAAGTTTTGAAACGTACATTCGAAAAACTCAGACATTCTGATTTAGCATGCTTGGAATGTTTGCTGGATAGCATTAGAAGCACTTTTTGTTCCACATCTTGCGCATAATTGCTCTTAGTGAAAAAAGTACTAGACAACATTCTTTAGAACTGTAACTAAAGGCAGTATATGTATATAGCTTTTTTTCAGTCATATATAAAAAAACAAATAGGGACCAGTACTAGCATGAAGAAGGATTCACAAATTAAATCAGAAATAAACTTTATTTAAAAAGGGGGGCCCCAGGAGCTTTAAGCTATTATATGCTAGTATGCATAGTCTTACCTGCCAAATGAATCTCCTCCCAGCACTGCAATGTTCGTGCTCTACTCTCTTGCTGGGGCTTTCATCTTTGTCCCATCTTCTTCAAGGTTCTGAGTCTTCAGCCACTTGATTTGCCAGGCACTGATGATGTAACCTCGCACATGTGCATGGGAGTTCACCTCAGCAAGAATACTGCAGAGTCTGCACATTGAGTTGCACAGCTCAGTGTACAGGAGCAGAAAAAAATGCTGACAGGCAGGTAGAAGCTTCTATGGCAGAAGAGACTTACACAAATTGAATTTTGAAATGTATGATGATAGTAAGAAGAGATTTAAAAGGTGAATTTTTAGTGACCTCACTGCCACGAAACTTCCAGACAATTTATTTACCGTGATAGTACAAGCTAAACTCCAGGCAGCTGAATACACAGCTGAAATAAATATAAGGGCACAGCCTGCTCTGACAGGGCAGGAGATGAGATTTTTCTAAATTGCAGTTAAGTAACACATGCAGGTTATGTCCCTCTTCGGCATGCAACTCAATAGTGAAGCAGAAGCAGCAGACTCATGAGCTCATCTCTCTGTCACTGCTGTCTGCTCCCTCTACTAGTCTTAGCTCTGCTGCACAGTGGATTGCAAATACCAAGTCAAATTCATGTACTTGCGCTGTTTGCATAATACATTCAATAATTGTCTTATTCAATACAGGGCTGTATTAGTTTGGTTCTTTTATGCAATATCTGAGTTCAGCTTTAATTATTATGTATACTGAAAAATTCAGATGTATTTTTAAAATTTTACAGCATATAATACTACCTGCACAAATGTGTTAAAATTAGATTATTTGAAGCAGGGCTTATAATATCAAGTACAGCATTTCCCGGTGTATGTTATCAGAGACAACATTTGTTGAAATTATCAAATAATTATTACATTTATATAAGGATATGCATATTTTTTTCTATTCCCAGGGCCCAGTAGGTCCTCCAGGACTTCCTGGTATTCAGGTAAGAACAAATAACATAAACAATAAATGTTGAGCATACCATATAAATCTTTGACATTTTACACTTTTATTTAAATATCAAACATTTCAAAGAAGCTTTCAACATTTAGCAAAGGCACTTCCCATAGTGCATTAATCCTTGTTCTACAATCTTTTGGGCCATGTAAGAGTATGAGTTGGCCACAACAATGAATTTCTGATCAACAGGATTGTCATGCCTTATAAAAGTAGCTTAAGGACAAACTTTTTAAATAAGGATTTGATAATTCAAAAACAATGATAATGTGGATAGTGTAGTAACCTGGTATACATTACTGCACTCTGATCATGGCTTTATTGATATAATTGCCCAAAATTTGTATTAACCAAAATATATTGCCATTTCTTCAAGACTTAGATATATTGTTTTACTAGGGTCTCCATGGTCTTCCTGGAATGCCAGGTCCTCCAGGTCCAGAAGTAAGTATTCCACTTTCAACATTAATGATTCTGAAGGTATAGATAAAGCTATAATGTTTGTGTAACATTTTATTAACAGCAGTTAATCTGGATAAAAAAAAACATATCCAGTAACTATGCTGGGCAATAATACATGCAGTATTTCTATTTTCTATTTAGGTAAATGGCTTAGTTGTTAAAACTATTTTATAGCTTGCAGGGAGATGCAACATTTTTTAGAAGCTAATAATGTTAGCCTGGAATTTGCATTCATCCTCATAGCATCTGAGGTCACTATGGCAATTTTGTTGGAGCATAATGTTTATATCTTTAAACGACTACATTGCTGTTATAAAAGCGGAATTTTCCAGTGACCATTACTCACACTAGAAGCTGAGGAGGTCATTTAAAGCTTTGCTTGCATAATTACCACCCACAAAGACTTCTGAATATCCATTGGTGGTTAAAAATAAGGGTCATAACTGTACAACGTTTTAACAGCCTCCTGGACACTCAATGTGTTTTAATAAAATTCTAACAAATTTATACCGTTCGCTTATCTGGACATTTAGAATTTAATTTTGTGCTGAATGCTTGAAATTATTGCCTTCTAAGTTAGCACACATACTGATCATCCAAGGCATACCATTGTTGCTGATTGCCTCCTCGCAAAGTCATCGCAAAGAAAATAAATTGGAAAATACTGCTGCATAGAATGTGTAACTGTGTATGGTTGTTACTGTATCTTCTAGGGTGTGCCTGGGAGAGATGGAAGACCCGGACTTCCAGGACCTCCAGGTGACCCAGTATGTGAGATTGTCCAAACAATTTAAATTAGACTGTTTATTAACCTTTTACCTACTAGCATGTTTATATGTGAAAAATATTCTGTAAAGAAATTTGATTAGAGGAAATTTTAAAAAGTTAGACCCTATGCTAAATTTGATTTTGTTTTTCAGATTATATTATTTTTTCTTTATTTATCATTAAGGAAAATGTATACATTTAGTATTGGTAAAGAATAAACAAAACATTTTATTTGATAACAAACTGTGAATGAATAATAAACCTAGATAAAAACACTCTAATGCACAGAATTATTTATGGTTATTATTCCCTGCCTGCGCATATAACAAGATTCCAAATTGTACTACTAACAAATACTGTACTATATTTTCAATAATAGGAATAACAAAGCTGAAACAAAACTATTACCAGCTCTTATGGTACCAAAATAATTACAGTACAAACCAACCAAATATAAAAAATGACAAAAAAAGATATATGCAGGCCTATATGGAAAACAATGATATACATTGAAGAATTGCAGTTGAGAAAACAAAGGGCATCACAGCAGCTATATTCCTGTATGTATATTAGAAAATGATATACTAGAGGTAGAACCTCTAAAAGAGCTAAATAAAGCTTGGGTGAGATTTGTGCTCTTGGCCTTTCTGAGTATTAAAAACAGAAATGAAAGCCAAAATTCTGTAGCCTAGTATCTAGATTTATTAAGCTCCAATTTTTATTTTTAATATACTTTCAGGGGTAATAATGGGTAATATTTTTAGTTTTCATAAATTCAAAGAGACAGTAATGAAATGTGCTCTTGTGTAACCTATGTGTTTGTTTATAAATTGTTATGATTGGTATTGTCTTTGTAGATTGCCCTTCCACTTCTGGGTGACATTGGAGCCTTGCTAAAGGTGATTATGCTTCTATCAAAACTATGTTTACATTTTCAGCTATTTGCAATAAATATAAGAAAAAAAATACAAATTGGGTTTATCTGATAGAAATATTTTCAACATTGAAATGTGTTAAGATAATAAATTGGTATTTCACTGTTAATTTCAGTACATCATTCATGATTAAGTACTGGCAAGAAGAATATATTTCAGTTTTTTCTTATATTATGCATAACAATGACTTTAAAGGGTCTCCAGGTGCACCTCACACATTTTTCCTGTTGATTAAATGTACTGAATGTAGTTTAGGCCACTATCACAAAATCAACCTATAGTATGAAGTTTCAATGGGTGAAAGGTAAATGGAGCACCTACATTAAGGTGTTCAACCTAAGTTTCATTTCATATTTGCCATTGATAAGTATTATTTTGATTTAAAATATTTTAGAATGTTTAATACAATATCCTCATTAATTTTTTTTAAACAAAAAGGAGCGCGATCTCCTCGCAGCCGCTCACATGGGCGCCGGAACCGGAAGTTTCATTAATTTTTAACTGTCATCTAGCTAGTAGGAGGCTATAATAAAGGTAATAGGCTTGAGATTAAGGCAAATGACACTAAGACAACAGAGGCTGTCTGGCTGGTGACAGAAGTGTAGATGCACCTTCAACAATCTAGATCAGAATATCTGGCTAGGTACAATACAAGAACAGCAACAGAAGTGGGATCAGGAAGAGGCTAGGAACAGCAGAGTCAGATGACTCTGCCCGAGTGCAGGTCAAGATTCCTGAAGATCACACAGTATGGATACATTTCAGTCAAGTATTTAAATACCCCGTTAGCAATTAATTTAGGTGTGTAAATGCATAGTGTCTACGTTTGTACGCTCAAGTGCATGTTTAGTTAAGTGCTGAGCCGGACATCTTTCTTGTGTTGACATGCACACACCATATTAACATGGAATATCCATGACCATCAGCTAACTGTATCCTCATGACATTCCCTTTGCAAAAAGGAGCTTTCAAGTGCAGACTTTAAATAGAAACTCTTCTTAACTATAGAGCATTAAACCTTTGTAAGCAGGAGGAGGTAAGCGGGTTTGGGCTGACAATGATTTCAACCCAAACTAGCTATTCGCAGTTTGGTAAAACAGCAAACTAGTGGGATTGTTTTTCCACCATAGCATCCAGTTAGCAATCTTGGCCTTTGAACCTTGGTCAGGTGGCATGGAAAGGCAGTTTTGTTGGTGGGTTGTATTAGGTTTTTTTGCAATCTAGCTGCTGGTCTGCCCTGCAGCCAATGTGCTTTTAGATGGGGGCAGTTGTGTGAAATACACTCTAAAGTTGATGTGTGGATTAAAGCTGACCGTTGTCCCTCCTGTTCAAAATAAAGGGCCTAAATACTGTCTGTAAAGTTGATAAAATGTTTCTGTTTTTCCTTTTTTATTGCAATTATATACACTTAATTATGATTTTTTTCGTTTGGGGGGGGCTGTAAAACTGAAGCCTACAAGAGATTGTTGAAATACTGCCCATGCAGTGTGTACAATATTCCTTTGTTTAGATTGTGAGAAATATACACTTTATTTTGTCTTTTTGTCCTGAGAAGCTGCATGAGCTCATGCGTTTTAGCAAATAAAGCCTTCAAATATTTCAGCATAAAAACAGCCTAGTCTCTGAAATGTGGGATTGTGGTTTTGATTTGTTTTTGTGCACTCTGTTGATGTGCTATTAAACTTTGTAGACAATACAGTGGGATACTGCACAAAATGAAGATCACAAGCTATGCCATAAAAGTGTTTTGTCACTATTTGGCATTTGGTATGGAGTTGAGGGTTTTAGCTTTATTTTTGGGAATCTCTTGTCTATTAGTCTTGAAAATGGCCAGAATTGTTTTTCAAGATTTGATCACTGAACTCAATGGGGTTTGGATTACATTTGTGGAAATTACCATGTGTTTGATGAATGGCCCATGAATCAAACCCCATCACATTCACTACTTAGTAGCATATCAAATTATATTCCTTAATCTTCACATCACATAAACTACAGGAAAAAACAACCATGGATATGATAATTTA